GGCTTTTTTGGAGGGTTTCACACCACCGAATTCTACTGTAATTACACCCGAATCCTGCATGTCCACCTTGGGCTTTGTCACTTGGTGTCGAAGAGCTTCCAGACCGCTAAGGTATGGGGCAACCCCAGTTGTGTGCTGCTCAGAAGGGCTTGGGGGAGCTGTCCCTGGCGGTGGCATTTTGATCAGGATCCATACATTATTTGATAGTACCGCACAAGGCACAAAGGCCACAAAAGGCAGAACAAAAGGAAGGCAATGCTAACTCCTGCATCCGCGCCGCAGAGTGCCTCGCGCGTGAGGCCTCCCAGTGGCACGGGCGCCCGTTTGGAGGAGGCACAAGCTCTGGGTGATTCCTGGGTGTGGCAGCCCAGTGGTGCGGCCAACGACTTGATCGACGCGTAGAAGCACGCAGGTGACCGTGTGTGAGTGAAATTGTTTGGTCAAGTTTTTTCAAGTTTTTTGCTGTTTTATGTTGTTTTAAGTCAGATTCCAGATGATTCCGGGAGATCTTACTTTTTTTGGTTTGAGGGTTGACTAAACAGTGCCTGCATACAGCATTTGGGTAGTTTTTCCAGTTTGTGTTGTTTGAGGTCCAGCGAGCTGTGAATACATCTTTGCTTTGCAAGGAGGCGTGGAGAAGGTGAGTCGGTCAGAATCACGAGATTAAGCTTGTGTTAGGGGAAGACTCACTCACCGTAAACCTTTGCTTGCGGAAGCGTCTCTTCTCCCCTGGAACTACCCTGTGAGCCAATCAACTTGTTGAACATTTGAGACTCAGTTGAAGTTCTTAGGCACAGTGGCACAGACCACAGAGTCTCAACGGTTTGATCAATGTAGGAAAGACTTCAGAATATTTGGATCGGATCACATCAGATTGGTAAAGACCTGAGGTTTCCCCATGGTTCCCCCTTGTTCTGGACGGTTCAATTTCTTAGCTTCGTCTCTCTTCAACAGAATATATACCAGGGTCTTTGATCATCTTTAAGGCCCAAAGGTCAGATCGCTTGGTCTCAAAACGGAGACGAGAATTGAATGAGAACCAGCATCCACCAAAGGAGCATAGACAAATTTACTGCTAATCTAAATTGAGGGATCCTCACTGTGACATCCAACGACTGGAACTGTTCCGCACCGCAGCGGTGCGTCGCTGCGTCGCTGGTCTCGCCGTTCGCGGGTCTCGCCGCGCGTCGCTGGCGCTTCGCGACTCCACGCTGTGGACACTGCGAGGCAGGATGCACGGCCAGCTCGAAGTTGACGGTGTTTGACCCAAAGAAGGAAGAAACACAGCGCTGCAGGCAAGGATTGAAACTGTTGTTGGATGCCCATGCCACCAGCCTGAAGAGCCGGATGTTCAGTTCTGATGAGGATGGGAGTTTCTGTTCGCCAGAGATGGTGTTTTTCTTTTAGGTCCATCAACCGTGTGTAGGATTTTGATGGGCAATGACTTGGCGAGGGATCCGTTGTTGAATTCTTGTTGAATCGATGAGGTGTTGATGTTTCTGGGTCAGGAAGATCAACCTAAATTGGTGGAGCGTTGTTTTTTCCGCGGCGGGTGAGTAGAATGGAACAGAGGAATTGGTTGGTTGGCCGGTTGCCACTGGAAGAACCCTCTAGACTCTAGACTTTCCAAACGAAACGGTTGTCGATGAGTGGTAGACGAGCTTTCTTTGGCAGGTTGAGCATCCACGTTCACCCCACTGACTATGACAATCAGTGGGGTCAGGTGAGGCTGGCATAAATTGGCTTGCGACATCGTGATTTTGATCAAGAGATCTTCATTTTTAGATCGACTCGGCGGAATGACTCTCAGTCTCAATCTGCAGCTGACATGACAATGCTTGAAAGTCCAGAACTTGATCTATGCCAGACCATCCATGTATGGAACAGTTACATACATTTACCCCACTTATGACCCTAATGCCCTAATGTAGTAGGCAACTAAACTAGTCTGTACATGGACGGTCTGAGTATGTTTTCTTGGTTTCAACGCTGGTCTCCACAGTCAGCTATTGCTGAGCATTCGCTCCGAGCAGTTCGCCAGGAGTTTATCAAGCTTTGGAAGGTCAATGATCACATGGCTCCTTGGCCAAATCTAGGTCGGTGGCAATCAGATAGGCAACAATGCAGCTTCCAAATGTGTCCCATTGTGCTAGGTCTCAAGGCCTTACACAGAAGATGTGATTGTCAGGAAGACCCAGGTCACATCACTGTTTGAAGGACCACATGTTTGACAGCAAGCCGAACATGGCTGTGCGTGATGCAACAGTTGAGAGATGAAAGTAGACCATTTTTCAATTTTTCAATATCATTGGGAGACATTGCATGAGATAGTAGTCTCTGACTTGTGATTGAGGAAACCCTCGCAATGCAAACAAAAAAATCTGGCAGTGAGTGCTGTCCAGCCCTCGTGTTTGTCATTTATCCTGCGAGGGGCAGGCTGTCTTGACACTTGCCGGATGTCAACTATCTGTTCAGTAGCATATAGAGGCCTCAATTCTGATCTGGGCCTGTTTGACGTATGTTTGACTGGCATATCATGTAGTTTAATCCCTCTTCCTTGGTCAAGTCACATGTCCCAGGCATGTCCAGCGTCGCTCGGAAAGTCGCTGTCCAGCGTCGCTTTGGTCTCTTCGACCGACCCTCCGAGGCCACAGCCATGTGCCTTCCCAATGCCTTGGGCTGCAATGTCGCTTGGAGACATGAATGGAGAAGTATCGCCAGGAAGACTCCACCTGGTGGAAGATGGAGGTATCTCTATCTCTGGCAAGGGTTCACGCACATTTGGAAAGGTTGAAACGGTAGAGATTGAGGGAATAATGTGATGTTTTGGTGCACATCAAGTTTAGATTACATCTCGCAATGTGATCAGGACTTGCGTTATTTTTTTGATTTATGTGACAAGCCTCATCAGTTCGAAACAACAGTTTGGACCTTGATTCACTGTGCCCCTTGTGCTATTTGTGACAGTTATACAATCATGTGGTACGTCATGCAGTATATAATTGGTTGTTTGTGTTGTGGGGAAGGTATTGTCCTGGAGCGGCCTGCAACTCTACGGATTTTCCCGGGCAGTATATGCCTGCTACCGTATATGTGTGGTAAAAGCACCATTTAGCAAGGTCCTTGTCCTCTCTTTGTCTCTCTCTAATTGCAAGTCAATGTTTTCACGCGCTTGTTGTTTTTTCAACCTTTCCGAGACCATCCATCATTGTTGCATACATTTACCCTTACTTTATGCATCAAGATCAAGATATAGACCCTAAATTGTTGTCTCCTTCCTCCGGTCCCAACCGAGGCATCGGCCTGGAGGCCCTTGATCCCTTGCTTGCAGGACTTGAGCGTGAGGGGAGCCCAGATGCCAGGCGGAGAGTTTCATGGGCAACAAAAACTTCTGGTCCACACCACAGGTGCTGCATACCATGGTTTCGAGGATGCTTTTAGAGGGAAGGTTTATGAACAGATTCCATAAATAAAGAATGGTTTAGACTTTAGACATGTGTCATCATTTAATGATGGTCTTGTTTGGGGGGGCAACAAACCACTGAGTATTGTTTGGATGTGTGTGAAAAGAGCAGGTTCTGAATGAAAAGTGTCTTTTAAGCGCAACTTCAACCATGTTTATTTGTTGGACTTTTCGAAGCAAGCTGCACGTCCAATATTGACCTCATGACCAACACATGCGGGTGCATTTCGCAATCGTTGTCCTTCTATTTTCTTAATCATAATCTTAGATCTTGGATTGCTGAATATTCAAGTGTGTATGCAACAAATAAATAATACATATAAGTCATAATGATACAATCTAGTCTGACACATGGGGAGAACAAAGGGCGAAACGGACCTGGGCTGGCTCCCGTCTCAGGTGGATCATTTGCTGGCGGAAAGCGGCGGATCTTTGTCCATCCAAGGCTCGATTAACAAGAGCTTTGGCTGCATTTGGAGCTTCTTGTGATGATCGCCAGATTGGCCAGGATCCAGGGATAGTTGTACTAGCCAAATTGCTTTAATTATCAACATAATCAATCACATCAACCGTCAACGATTAAATTCCAAAGTTGGTCCAGGAAAGTGAATATCGGTGGTCAGCTCGTTCATTTGATGCACATGAAGGCACGTGATGACCTGAAAAGATCTTTAGGAAGGTGACACCTTGACACTTCACCTCCTTTTGCCATGTTGTTCCTCGCCTGCCTTTTGGATTGTTCGCCTCACCAAGGCTGGTGGATGAGTCGCTGTCTCAGTGCACTCGAGGTAGTCGCTGGTCTTGCGGTTTCTTTGACGGGTGTTTTTTTTGTGGCAGAGCTGACTGACGTGTCACCAGGGTTGCTTCCTATGGACACCATCCCAGTTTCATTCTCCCGCAAAAGCGCAGCTCAGTTGGGAGAAGACCAGGAGTCAGAGCCAGCTGCGACTGATGTCAGAAATCTGCTGAAGCTATGAAGCCATGTGCTGACTGCCCTGAAGAGTCGTTGATTATGACATCCGACCTGTGTACAACTAGCACAACTACCAGACTACCATCAACAATGTGTCCAATTGGGGGATTGCATTTGTGCGTTCCGTGATTTTCCTAATCACATGTCACCATGAAATGGAGTGTCCTCTCATTTATCTCTTGATGTGTTTATTCTTACAATACAGTCAGTCAATGTATACAACTCTGTAAATCTCATACACATCATCTTTTGATATTTTTTGAGTATGGCCAGAAACTCTGGCAACACACGGACCACTCTGGCGTCTTCCGTTTTCAGGTGTTTTCTTCCCTTCCTTAGACCAAAAAGGGTGAATCGCGGCTTCTGTCCCTTCGTGGTTCTCGACCGAGACTCTCAGGTGCCCCTACCAGGGCTACTTGTTGAATGCCGTGGCCGCGGTCACCTGCATGGCGCGGGCGTCGTCGTCCGGTTCGGTTCGGTCGATCCGTCGTCTGGTCGGAGCGGTTCCGGTGATTCGGTGAGCTTTGGGATGTTATAGGTTCAGATAGAGGCAGACAGACTGATGGACAGATGTAATCAGATATATAATGATATATATACATGGCCTTGGGCCTAGAAATTCAGAGTGAACTAGTCACCCTTTGCCATTTGACCAACAGGTAAGGTATATATATGTATATTATACACAAATTTTGTGTATACATATATATATATACACCTTACTTTGGAGATGGAATAGAAACCAAAATTGGGGGGGTTCAACCAAGTTCAAACTAACTGGATTTGTTGTCTATTTTGTACCATGAGTGATTCCAACCCAGTGGGTTCCCCATTTTCGATTCCCGACATCCACGTGCGGAGGCAAGACCCAAGCAGCATGCTGTTCCAATTGATGCGCCCTTAGCCCGGAGCTTGGAAGGTAGTGCAGAAGAGATTTATTTTTGACTTCTTCCTGGGCTTCGGGGCTGTTTGTTGGATGTGGCATGATGTGGCTGAAAGAAGAGGACCCTGGAACGCACAGGTTCTTGTTTACTTGTCCTTCTGCCGGTTTGGATGGTCCCTAATTGATTTACAGTCACCAAGCCATTGTCTGGCTTTTGTGGATCCTGAAGTTCCTTTGGTAGAGGCTCGATGAGGTTAAGGTTTACAAGCAGTGGCTCATTTGAAGGAATAATCAGGAACTAGCTAACAAAACACATAACTTAGACAATTATCAATGATCAATTTATCAATGTATACAAATGTCCAGAAAACATCCTATAGATCCTATAGGGCTATAGGACATCCTATGGAAGTCCTTAATTCTATTTGTATCATTATAAGACTATTGTAAGACATTATAAGAGCTGCGGGGCTCAAAGGCCCAAAGGCTGGGGCGTGCGGTCGCCCAGGGCGGGTTGTGCGGCCCCAAGTCGCAGGTCCGTGTCCATAAGGTGGGTGCGAACACCCACCCCCGAAGGTTCACGTGGCTTGTGACTTTGGAGGTCCGCACTTTGTTCACGTGGGTTGCCATGGAAGCTGCATTAGCCATCGCTGACGGCATTCTTTTGGATCCTCTGAAAGCTGAGCTCCGCTCCATCCTGCACAATGTCTCTACAGCTGGCCCGCATCTGGCGTTGGATGATCGCATTGTGTTGGGAGGAGAGGTCGTCTCCGCACTGCAGGAAGAGTTGGTCTTGGCCCTCTTTCCCTTCAAGCCGACGCTAGGGTTTGAAGCAGCCCCATGTGATGAAAAGATGGTGAGGGTGAGGATTCCGGGCCTGGGGGACCGCTCTATCCACACGGTGCCTGGAGTTCAGATCATGTGTGCTGGAAAGCCGCTTTCCTGGAATGACATGGTTTATGAGTTTGATTCCCATGTGGCGGTCACCTTCAGGCCGGAGAACAGTGATGCGATGCCGTGGAATTTTCTCCACCTGTTCAGTGGCTCATTCGGAGGATGGAGCCAAGCGGCCTCCTTTCTGCAAAGAGCTGACCAGGGTTTTTCATTGGGGCAAGAAGTATTTGTCGACAATGATGAAACAGTGATGCAAATTTGGAGTGCCCAAGCTGGCAGTCGGCATTTTCGAGGACCACTAGCTCACAACACAAAATGGTCGCCTGCTGCAAAGATTGGTATCCTCACCTCTGTTGGGGACTGGTCGCTGGCAAACGCGTGTCGTATTCAGACGAATCTTTGCTGCACTGTTTCGCCTCCATGCCAAAGCTGGTCGAAGGCTGGACGACGTTTAGGACTGCAAGACAGCAATGGATGGGCATTCATTGATGCCATCAAAATGATCACCATCGTCCAGCCGATCACTGTTGCAATGGAGTGCAGTGATGAAATCACTGAGCACCCTCATTTTAAGATCCTTGAGGCTCTCATCCATTCGCTTGGATTTCGGCGAACGTGGACGCAGGTCACACCGTATCAGGCTCTCGCTGATCATGCTCGGTCTCGGTGGTTGTGCACCTGGGCTAGAGCGGATGTTCAGGCCCAAACCATTGGATTCACATTTGCTCTCAAAGCATCTCCCAAGACACCTTGGGATGACCCTGTGTATCATTTTCGGATTCCTGATGTTTGGGTCAATCAGCTTGTCCTCTCAGAGTCCGAAAGAGCCATCTACAATGATCCCAGACTCCTTCCAGGGTCCAAGCGCAAACGATCAGATGGGGATAGTTCTGGTGCGCTTCACACGTTGTGGGCGAGGGTCCCCAATGGACATGAACCCCTCCCAACGCTCTGTGCTTCGTATTCGTCGCAGCATACCCTTGCCAAGGTTCATGTGCAAGACCGTGGATTGTTCGCATTCCTGAATCACACCAGTCGTGGTTTCGAATTTTTCGATCCTGCCAGGTTTTGTGGGCTTCTGGGAGTCACAGAGGACAGAACGTTTCCTACGAAGGTGCAGTCTGCCTTTCGAGGCATTGGCAATGCGATTTCTGTGCCTCATGGCCTGTTGGCGCTTTCGATTGCAATGCACACAGTTGGTCAAACCAGCGTTGATCCCCTGAAGGCTGTTCGACAGGCATGGCACGCACGTTTATGTGCTCGGAATGCAGTTCTTTTCCACCATGATGCTTTCGTGCACTTGGTTCATGTCGATCATGTGGCACAGTGGGTTTCCATCAAAGTTCTGCCGGAAGTCCATGATTCATGCCGCGTCCTGCTCCAAGGGTCCTTTGGCCATCATCGGATCAGGGCCTATCTCCCGCATGATGCATCGTGTGGTCAATCTCTTCACATGCTTTTTGCAGGCCCTAAAGAACTCATTGATGTGATTGCCTTTCGAGCACAAGACAATAATCCTAACAAGCATTCGTGCATTGGCCAACTCGCAGATCCTGACACCTGTTGGGAATTCGTCGTAGCTGGAACCCCTGTGGGGTCATGTTCGATAGCCCTCGCGCCGAAAACTGAGGTCATCGATGTTCCTGATGATGATGACATTCCCATCGACAAGGTCTACCAAATTGCTGACGAGCTGTCCTTCGAGGATACATGCAAGCAGTCGTGGTTTCAGAAAGTACTCTCCTGCTGTGATCGACTAACACCGGGCTATGGCACTTCTCAACGAGTGGTCTTTCTGCACTCGGTGGGCCAATGTGATTTCCAGGTCTGTGGCAAAGGAAGTGAAATCAAGTCGATTTCTGATGAGATTACCTATGCCTGGAATGGTCAAGTTGTCGACATGCCAAATGAGCACGTACCCCTCACACACCTTGTGTGTGGGGTTGATGAGTCAATCGACGGACAAGTACAAGTCGCTGTCTATCTGCAAGCTGATGACAAATTCTGTTTGCTCCATCTTCCATCGACTATCTCCACATGCACCACGTTTGAGTGGAAAAAGAAGAGGCTTGCCATCACAGCGATCAATGGCACACCACCTCAGCAGTCATGCATTCGGCTCCATGCAAATGATGTGCTGATTGTTGGAAGTGAAGAGCTCATCCGTGCAGGAGGACATCATGAGGCCCCAGGCCCTCGGCCATCTTTGCCTGCCAGTGCCCCATTTGTTGACAGAGCAGAGTTCATGTGCAATACACAGGGCTGGATTGCTAGTGATGAAATGGCAATGTACACACAAGAGATCCAGTGGCACCAGATGTTCTACAAGTTTACCCCACCTGTATTCTGGGATCCGCATCAAGATGACTTCGAGTTTCCTGAGTCTGGTGAAATCCACATTTTCAACGGATGCACCACAGTCGTTCCTATTCTCATCACGAATCACTGGAGCGCAGTTGAGATTCATCGTGGTGAACATGGCACACGTGTTGTGTTTGTCCAGGTCCCACAGAATGTTCGCACCAAGCTGACTCACATGGTTGCTCGACTCTTGGACATTGCTCCACATCGCTTTGAAGTTGCGCATGAAGGTGATGGTGCTCCACCTCACTTATGCGGCTGGTTCTTATTGTATCGCTGGATTGGCCATTTCAACATGCAGAACAACTTGGCCAACCAGGTCAATCAGTCCCCATTGCCGCGGCATGTGGTGGAGATCATTGACACGTGTATTCAATGTTCTATTGAAGATTGGCGCAGGTGTAATATGCCACAGGATGTTGCTCAGGTTGCACTACAGCTCAGACGAAATTTTCTGTGGCATCGTGCTCGGCGTGAGGCCATCGGCCAGCCAGTGATCCAGCCACGGCTGACAGTCGCTATTCCAACACCACAGCCAGTCATTCGTGAGCAACCACAAGAGCCACCAAGTGCTATTACTGAGATCCTGGCAAGATTACATCATTTCCAGCAATATCCGGGCTGGGCTGCTACAGACGAAGTTGATTACACAATGGACCTGTTGAGGTCACATCATCCAGAGACTCTCTTTTGCCCACCGGCGGTCTGGCTTCCCACGCGATCGGAGTTCATGTACCTCAATGATTATGTGCCGGACATTTCGTCCTACAGCCATATTTTCTGGACAGTGGTGACGATGAATCATCGGGTGCAGATTGAACTGTATCTTGCTCCGGAGAATGCAAGGTTCTACTTCACAGTGCCCAACACCATCCAGCAGACACTCCTGCCACTGATCAATTACATCATTGGTATTGCACGAGTTGAACCGGAGACTGTCACCGTTGAGACCATTCACCAAGACACTCCACATGGGCTGTGTGGGTATCATATGCTGCATCAGCTTTTCCACAGGGTCTCTTTGGATTTTGCCCCGCTTCGTGATCCACAGCTCCAAACAATCTGGCGGCACCAGCTTGGAGAGGAGCTTGAGGAAATCAGAAACGAAGCCCGCCTGGTGTGGCACAACTCAGGTGCAGAGGAAGAACTCATTGAGTTTGCTGCAAATGTCCGTGACTGGTTCCTGATCCGAGTTCTGGAGCGACGATTCCCTGACCAATACATTGCTGGTGGTGCTGCTGATGATGTTGACATGGCTTCTCAAGATGCTTCAACCAAGAGCAAATCCAAAGCCCCGGAGGTGCCCCCAGGGAGTGGTGGTTTGAGTGCTAGCAGCAAGGCACCCAATGATCCGTGGCTGCACAATGATCCTTGGTCCAAGCGACCACCACGACCGTCGCAATCCAAGTGGGAGGACCTCGTGATCAAGGAACCTGTTCCTTTCGTCGACGAACATGACAAGCATTTGAGCCAAACACACCGATTGCAATTGGCTCCAAGCCGTGGTGGGGTTGTATTGGCAACCAAATCGCATTTGCCGGAGATTTCGAAGATCCAAGCTGCTCCTCACCTATGTGTGCTGATCCCAGCATCAGACTCACCCAGTCTGGCACATCTTGCCAACCGGATGGAAGGGCCCTATGAAGTCTCCCTCCATGACAACACTGCAAAGATCTCATACAAGCGCCTTGTGCACATGCTTGTTTTCGCAGGAAAGGTCAGATTCCAGCTACCAGAGGCTACATACAAAATGACAACACCAGCT